TGATTGCTTAGGTCTTTATTTGAAAAAGATTATCTAATTTACCAAATTTAGGTCTTTATTTAATTATCTAATTTAATCCTCACCAATCCTGAGGTAGGTGTTACCCCCAGGTTACAGGTGAGTTAACTGAGGTCCAAAGAATTTAAGTACCTTGGCTCAAGGTCTTGGAGATAGAACAAGATCTGATGGCATCTCCTTCAATGAGGACATCTCCATTTCAATGGAAGAGGTAAAAATACACTGTGGATAAGTAGGAATATGGGCATTTGACGTCAGGCAGGATCTTTGGCCTGCCTAATGTAGCCACAGCTCTGCAGCATGTTTATAAAATGATTGAAAAAAGATCCCAACGTTAATTAAGTCAGGAAATGCCTGGGATAAACAGGCTTCTTTTCTGCAGGATTTCTCCGTCTCTAATATGATATGGATTATAGATGGCCAAGAGGAAGTATTTTTTTTTTTTTTTGAAAGCTCTTCTGTTTCTCAGAACATACTTAGGGGGAAAAAAAAAGCTGGGATAAAACTTCAAATCCCTGAAATCAATTTCAGGAAAAAAGAAAAATAAGTCTCATACTTTTGGGCCATATTTGATGGTCCCAACTTCCTCTCAGGGGCTCAGATATTTAAATCCTGAAGTGAACTAGCTTGGTGATTTGACTGGCACTTGGAGAGCTGCATGCCTGGGGTGTCACAGAACAGAAGCACGATGTGCAGTGACTTGGGGACAGCATGGGGCACTTAGGAAGAAAAAGGCCTTGAAGGTCTTGGGTAGTTTCAGTCAATTCGTGGTCTTCTAAGGCTTATCGGGTCACCCAGGGTCACTGGGCGCCGGGCCTGCAGGGAGATGTGGAGCCCAGGTTCCACAGTCAGGCTACAGTTTGTTTTCCCTCTGCTCCAGAGCCCACAGCACCCTTGCACACGGAAGCAGGAAGGGAGCCGGAGGCTTTGGAGTCACAGCTTGGCACTGGCAGGGGCGCAGGGGACGGCCTGTCCCGGTGCGCCCTGTGGAGCGCCCAGCTAGGCTCAGGGGCCGGGCCCCAGTTGGGACCTGGTTGAGTTTTGTTTATTTTCACTCCAGAGTTCTTCTTCCCACACTCGTTTGCCACAGCTAGAGCCTCAGTTTATTTTACTCAACAAAAACAGACTAAGTGCTCTCTGTGTGTCAACTCAGTATTTGAAAGACTAGTTGATCTCTCTCAGCAACTGACATTAAAGACCAAAACGTAACTGAAATGAGGTCTTAGCTCATTAATGACTCCTCAGAGTCTAGAATGGAGTTTGGCGCATAGTATCTGTTCAGTACATCTCTGCAGAGTTAATGACTAAGAGGACATCCTGGCAGGAATCACACTGCCACTGAACACTTGGAGTGTTTGTAAGAGCTCAGCTGCGAGGCTCTGCGGGGCTGCCGGTGGGGGCACGGAGGGCAGGGCTGCTGGGTGGCGGGGCCTCTGTTCTCCGGGGAATGAAGTGAAACAAAACTACCCAAGAAGAAAACGGGTTGTTTGGATGGTCATTTTGGCTCATTTGTAACACCTTCTCTACTTCCCTGCAGGTGCACTGATACAGGAGCAGGTACATGGGGCTCAGAAAGAAAGACTTCCAGCCCGATTTTAAATGGATGGATTGCAGGGCAAAGGCCATTTTCTCTTTATACAAGAGGTAGCAGCTTACATTGTATCAAACTGCTCATGCCTTCCTTTAAAAACATGGTAACTTAAAAAAAAAACGGCTTAACTAGCTTTTGAATAGGCCACATTCACCAGTAAGAACGGACTCTCTGTCATCTGTATCATTCTCAAAGAAAACATGTGAATAGTTATTTCTGAGCACATGCCACCCAATAATCTCTTATGTGACATTAAAAAAATTCACTCAAATACCAACAGATTCAACTTTATAGCACCATTCCAAAATACTAAACTTTCTTTGCACCTTTATTTTTATCTTTTTTTTTTTTGTACACATTTAAAGTACGGGCATCCTGTAAAATTCTGAAAAGCCTCATAGGAAAAAAAACAACTAAATTTTAGGACAAAGCAATAAACTCAGTTTGTAGGCAAGATGATGTCAGGCAGGCTGTAAGTTCTTCGTGGGCTTCGGTAGACTTGATTCTGGGGTGAGAATGTAGAAAGATGCTAAAGTCTTCCTGGATTTTTCTAGAGGTTACGTTGCGTGTCAGTATGTAAAAACTTGTTGCTCAATGGTCAGACTCTAGGTTATTGATTACAACTCAAACTGTGAAAACAATAGTCTTTTGTAATGATTTTACTTTTTTGATTGACAAAAGAATTGGGAAATTAGATAACTTCAAAGTCTGTACACACCTCTTATTCACACTCTGTAAGAGAGAGATTAGAATCATACCAAATTCCCTCTCACGAATCTCCGCAATGGAAGCTTGGAGCACTAAAATATGTTCTTAGCAAGCAGATGTAGTTCAAGTAGAATTATAAATGGGATTTTAATTCAGCACATATTTGGCTGCATTGTTATGTAAGAAGACTGACAAAGTAATGTGGGAGCTGATAGGTGATGAGGACTGCTTGCAGAAGAAAGGCTTTTCTCCTGACACTGGAGTCACATTTCATATGCCGACTATGGCTGCACACTCTTGTCTAACCATCTGTGTGTTACCATGAGTCATGTGCACCCAGATAACAGATCTAGCCAAAGAACTTGGAATTTCTGAGTGTGCTGCGATTGGTAGCATGATGTGAAGAGGTAGAGTCGGAAGGGTGTCCGCTAACAGCTTAATTCTGCAGCAGTTTCAAAGAAATTGTTACACAATAACAGTCAATGACCCAGGAAGGAAAAGTTTAAATCAGAAGTGACTAGTATTAAAAAGCTACTGTGCACCAGGTAGGAAGGAATATGAGAATATTAGTATGCCCTGAATAGAAATAATCACTTTGCACTATGTACACCACATACAATATAACATATTCTTTTTTAACATTGCACAATATAAATATTATACACGTGGAGTAAACTAAATTCAAAATAACTGAGGCACACAGAAGAAACATGGAGTAGATAGAACTCGGATGAAAATTAAGACAGGGTTAGTAAAAGGCAAGAGTGTTATACCGCCAGGCCAGCGAGCCCACTGCAGGGCTGGCAGTCACCTCCCATATATACTGAACGTTCTCACACATCAATGTCATTGGAGCTGATTGCTTCCAACAAAGACTGATCAGCTAAGTAATTTGAGAAAATCAAACTGTTGCTCCCCACTCTGAAGTAGGTAACCCCTACAGATCCCTCCCAACCTCAGGGTTTCATGATGAGGGACTATGTTAGTACAAGGTTATAGCTCCCCTATTTCTTGTAAATAATATGGTTACTATGGAACCACTTTAAGGAAACTAGAACAGTATTCAAGAACACCCATCACAGTGCTTAACAAGATTTAATGTACATTTATTCTTAACATGTGGAACATATAAAGATTTATATTGAATAAATGATATTCATTAAGCCAGAGGAAAAGGAGGAATTTACATCAAGTTTTTCTTTTTTTTTTTTAAACTACATTATCTTGAAATACAAATGTGGATTCTTGTCACTGAAAAATCTTTGAAGTTGTGTTTCTTCCTTTTAGGTTTATTTTTTCTTTTTTGTCTGTACTGGTAACCATTTTCTAAATCAATTCATATGTAACCATTTCCACACCTTGATTCGTGAAGGAAATTGTGTGATCAGCTGCTCTCCTGAAATAGAGCATGACTTTATACATACAGAAACTTGTACATTACCCTCTTTTTTGTTTTTTGTTTTTTTGTATTTTTTGTATTTTTTTTGTTTTTTTGGAGATATGGCCCTAATGAAAAAATATATAAAATAAAAATAAAAAATTATTTAAATCTACCATCACTTTGTAGTTACCACATCATGGGAGAAACAGTTCACACATAAATGAAGTTCAGATAGTGAGCTATTAACAATCATAAGTGGTTTATATGAAGTTGAATTATCCATGCTTCCTTAGGGGCCTATACTGGACATTCTAAAGAGTCTCTATTAAACTTACTGTCTCAATCATTTTTCCAGGCCTGTGGTTTTCTATGAATCATTAATTTGTCCTCCATATAGATTATTATGAGATATTATACTGTTCTCATGGTTATCTGAAAATGAAAAGTTATATCTTGTTCCATAAGGTCCTTTAAGAAGGTGGGAATAAAGTTGTCATGTTTCTGGCAAACTTCTATATACATCACAGCCCATAGGCAGTAAAAAAAATATTTAAAAAATGATTAAAGGAATTGTGAAGAACTGTCATGTGGAAGGTCAAACGACAGACAGCAGACATGACCGTAGTGGTGAGGAAGCAATTTCCATAGATCATTGTCAGGTATGTATTTTCAATCGTAAACAAACATATTCTGCTTCTAGCCTAATTTAACCATTTTCTTGTGGAGAAACCGGTATCACTTCATAGTCTGACTACTGACTGACACACCTCCTTGAGCCCCTACACCTACATCTCTAGAAGTTTCTATTGCACAGAGCTTTGGGAGATGGGATACAGTTTTTATTTTTTCATTATCTGAAGAATAACATGCCTAGGAAATTGTTAAATTTTCACCTTTCTGCCTCAGTGTGGTGAAATTTTCCCATCTTAGCATCTTTTGCCACAATTTTTTTCTTTAAAGTCAATTTGCTTCCCCCAAAAATGCAATACAACATAGAAAAGAATGTTAAAAAAGAAAATGTGTGAAAAACAAAAAGTGACCTTTGAATGCACTAGACAGTAACTTTGGTTAAAAATAAAATTAACCCAAAAGCATGTACTTATACACACAGACAGCAAATATTAATTTCATAACTGTTCGAATTAATTATTTCTTTAATTCCCAATTGGTAAATAGTGAATGGGGCAGAGGAGCAAAGATTTTCTTTTCCTTCTTCCTATGCTGGATAAACAAGAACAGAAAACAGCCAGTTATACGGGAGCCTCTAAGTCTTCACTCACACATGCTGCCTTCTCACTGATGTCATAACTGCCCGATCTGAAACAGTACATCACAGATGACAGACGCAACCAGAGAGTTCAGGACGGCCGATATTGAGATATCCAGCAATCGGCCCTCGTGCAGAAGGAATTCCGAGCGGTTCTCATCCACTCGGGCCATGGCCAACAGAGCCTTGGCCGCCCTGCACATCATGTCCACGCTCGGTGGCTCTAGCGGGGGGGGCTGCATGTGCATGAGGTTATGCTGGCTCTGTTGATACTGCGCCATCGTGACCCCATCCTCTAGAAAGCTTATCAAGTTTCCAATGCTTCCCTTCTGCACAGCTATTGCCCTAGCTGCCAGCGCATCCCCTTGGGCAAGGTTCGATAAAAGCGCCATGGACATTTCTCGACAGACTGGGTTTTTGCGATCCCCAACGTACCTAACTAACGTAGCATAGAATTTCTCCTGACGACTAAATGGAGGCGTGGCCAAGATCAGGTCCACATTGTTGTCCTGGATACTGAGTTTACAGAGGGTCTCCAGCACGAGTCTCTGAGGTGACAGGACAGAATTGGGCCCCACGGTTGGAAAGGGGTCCTGTGCCTCTGCAGACGGGCACACCATCCAGTGCAGCAAGCCATCCAGGATGGGCAAGCAGATGCTTTCCGTGTAAGCAGACAAGTCTAGCTGCCCAGAAATGTTGGCTAACGTGACCAGCGTGTTATCCCTTAAGACCTCGAGGCAGTCCCACCACCACTCCTCCTTGCTGCAGGCCACCCCTTTGTCCTCAGCCTCCTCTTTCTCATAGGTCTGCGGTGCTCGTTTTCTCTCTGGATGCTCATGGTGAAGAAGAATCAGCTTTCCCAGGATCAGCACCAAGCCTGGATGTTTGGACATTTCAGCGTCATTGCCAGGCACAAACGACAAGCTACGGACAATATTTGACACACAGATACAGCGCTTGGCCAGAGAATCCTGCCAGTGCGCGATGGTGCAGAGGGGAGTCTCGTCTCGGCTCCGCGGCTCGTCCTCCAGCAGCTTGATGTTTCGGTGGCTTTTGGCTTGATGTATACCGAAGGGAAACTTGCTGCTCTCGGCCTGGGTGCCGGGGTTCGCCTCTTCGGGCAGGGCCCCTGGCCGAGCAGACAGGACGTCATCAATGGTCGCAATGATGCTTTTCTCTTGCTGCTCTTCGCAATCGCCTTTTCCGTCCTGCTCTTTCTTTCTGCCTGTGGAGCCCGAAGGGGGAGAGGGGCGCCTGCGGGGAGGGATCTCCATCTTGCTCTCAAAGTGAGTCTGGATGTGCTCAGTGGTGTCCCCCCCTCCAAGCTGCCAGTGCAGAAGCCCGCTGTTGAACTCCTGGACGCGGCCCAGTCTGTTGGACCGGTCCACCACAAACAGGTTGTTCTTTCTGACGATCTTTATCGGCAGCTTGTCGAACTTACTAGCTTGCCTGGGCCTCTCCTTCGGATATGCCACGGTGTCGGGGGTGGGCAAGGCCATGCTGCTCTTATCCTCACCCTCTGCCTTCCCACTGGCCTCCTCCTCGTCCTCCTCCTCCTCCTCCTCGGCATCAGTACATTCAGCATCTTCGTCCTCCTTCCCCGAGTCGTCGGCCAAGGACCAGCCGTGATCTTTCTTCACTGCATTGTGATCAAGTGCTTTTTGGCTGGGGTCTCCCACTTCATATTCCATAAGAATTCCAAAAATGTCAATCAGGCATTTTCTAAAGTACTCTACTAAAAGTTCGAGAAATCCGGACAACTAGAGAGGGAGGGCAAGAGCGAGAACAGGCACAATATCATGACATCAGAGGTGACCGAGAAGGATAAAAACCCTGACCGCCAGCGATACATGATTCCCACGTCTGCACTCCCACTGGGCGAGGCCACAAGAAACTGCGCATCGGTCAGAACTACCTTCCCTCAACGGACACCGTCAATCGAACCCACGCTCATTCCCTTTTTCGCCACTTGCTTTACTGCACTATTAACTTGAACACTCACTTGCTATTTTCGTATTTCCAATACTGTCAGTGAGGAGAGCTTCACTGTTCTTCGTCTGTGCTCCTCATTTAGATACTATGCGCTCCTTTTTGGAAGAGTGGGAACATGTGCTTTATAGACTCATTCATGCAAAGTGAGTCTGTTCTCCTCTATTATTTATCTGGGACTTGCTTGCCTGGGTTTTTATGGATATTCTTAGGATTTTATGGCTATTTTTGTCTCAGGTGCCACAGGTTACTCTAATTTACATTCTTCATATATCTTTGGGAGAGGATAATCTCAGCAATGCAGTAGCTCATAAACATGGAAAATTAAAAGCGAATCAATTTAGTCCCTGATAAATGAATTAGAATGCTTTATAGGATGCAATTTTACATTTCAGTTATCACAACTCTGGCTGAAAGACAAAAGCTACTATGAGAACCAGTTGTTTCCTTTAAGCAAAATGTATCAAGAGAAACAACAAACTCCATGAGTAGCAACTGCCCAGCTGCCCCTCCCCAGCTCCCTCCCCTTGTTAGGGATGATAAAGGGTAAGTGCCTGATAGAAACGATCCTTTCCTGACAGGCCTTCTGAAGGTCAACCATCCTTGTATGTCCTGCCCTCAGTTTCCTGAATGTGGGCTTCCAACAGTTATTAAGAAGTAAGGCAAAACCCCAGCACTGACCACGCAGTACTTGTTTTGAGGACACAAAGGCACAGTTTTTCAAGTGGAGGTCTGGGTGTCCCCCTCTTCTCCTTAAAGTCCTCTTATGCCCCAGTGCAGGGGAAAAGGGCAAGCTGCTAAAGCAGTCCTGGTGTGAAAATGTGTGAACAGCAGTTCATAAGGGTGAAAGTTAATTACTTTATTATAGGCAGTATAACTTTTTTTAATACTTATTTTCTGTTAGAATGGACTTCATGCAATGTTTATGACCATATTAATACACTTCCTATCAACTGAAAAATTGCCTTTCAGGGCTATAACAGGGACTCAAATGAGGGAATAAAGAGGAAGTAGAAGATTCTGGTTCTGTTTCTATAGAAGCAAGGGAATTAGATATTCTGGATTTTTCACCAAAGGCAGAGAGTTGTTCATACACAGTAGGGAAAATCATCTTTTCTCATTTTTGTTTGTAATGTTTCTTTAAAAGTTGGCAGCCCAGTCAACTCTTGGGCATTTTTCCTAACCCCCAGCTCCCCTTCTCTCTTCTGTGATTATGCTGGAAGCTACTTTAAGCCTAGTGTGGAACAAAGGTGAGTTTTAAGCTCATTAAAAGTATAGGTATGTATGTATGTTATTTATATTGAAGTACAGTTATAAAGTAGGAGGCTTTTAAACAACTGCTTCAAAATAACCTGGAGAGAGGCAGAGATGGGGGGAACTATGAAACAAGTTTGGCCATGAGTTCCTAAGTATTTCAGCTAAGTGATGGGTATGTGGGAGGTTCATTAAACAGTTCTCTCAACTTACGTGTGTACACACACACACACACACACACACACCCCATCTTATACGCTCTCTAGAATGTAAGACTTCCTCTTTATTAAAAAGATGTTAGGTGCCCCCGGAAAGCAGGGCAACGTCCTCTGAGAAGCTATGCCATATTCAACATTGACCACAGCTATAACTTAATGTCACATTTGTGTTAATTCCCATTGACCTGCTAATATTCATTCTAAACAATAATTCAGTTCTATCATCATCTGTTACACACACACACGATCACTGTTTTCTATGAGAAATGCAGGTATGTGTGTATTTATGCTAAAGCCTGAAACAAATTATTATTCTAGACTAAATTCTCAGACAACTACACACTGACTGATGTCGGCTCACAAATGCAGTGATGAAACACATGAGACGCTGGGAGCTAATTACCTTCAGCATTACTTCCAGCATTATGGCTACTGAATTTTCTTAGATAATTTGGTCCTCAGATGGACTGGTGCTGGCTTACCTGGGAAAGATTGAAAGTAGCGACAGTGCTGTCATCATATAGAAGAATGTTAATAGTGTCCAAAGCCCAAGTACTTTCAGCCAAAAGCCCTGACTTAAGGGACATCATTACACGCCAGGCCTCGGGAGTAACTGAAAACGGGAGAGAACAGCACCATGATTAGTATTAATACTATGCGTGAGAGAATAGAAAATAACAGAAGAGTAAGAAAAAAGTAGATTGTCCAGTTAAACACAGATTTAAACAAACGTCCTAAGGAATAGTTAAAGTGACCATTGCCACACTTTAAATGGAGGAGGCAGCTTATTACTAAGAGGCTTGTACTCTTTGAGATCTCTCTGCTTTGCTGGTTAAATATGAGCCCCAGTAATTCTAGGAGTGGGAGCAGTCAAGCACAAGTGGTCCTTCCTCATGTCTGGTTTATTTCTTTAGCCCCTAATACAGTCTGTGATGATGCATCCAAGTTTTAGCAATTGAGTAAAATCAAAAAATGGTATTTGCCTTCTTGTGTCTGCTCCATCCCCAAATGTCTGAAAGGCAGCATCTTCAGAAGGCTGGCAAATATGCAGGACCTTAACAAAACTGAACTCCTAGAGTCTTAATTTTCCCATCTGCACACGTCTACCTGAGTGCCTTGCCCTCAGAACATGCTGAGGACAGGCAGGAGTGCTTTGATGGCTGGGATTTTTCAAGAGCGTGGCCTGAGGATGGGGCTGGGAAAGGGCTGCACTTCTGTCTGCCACATTCCTGCTACTGAAGGCAGGATGATTAGATAAAGAAATCTGCAAGCTTTGCCACAGGACGTTGTCAGGAGAAGGGGCCTATCGTGTGCCTGCGATTTCAAGGGCAGCTGTCACAGGAAACCCGCAGCAGTGCGTGGCGAGGGCAGCTCCGGGCCAGCAGAGCGCACCCCAGCCTCAGCCGCAGTCCCGGCCCAACAGCAATGCCAATGGTGAGCGCACAGGCGGGGGTGACGTTGATTTTAATTCATTTATGAATTAAATTTTAATTTCACCTACCATCCATACTTTCTAAGATAGGCACATACTACTTTTATGATAAAAAAGTACACTGTTTAAATTAAGGAGCATACATTTCCCAAGGCTGAAGACAAAATGCTGGTGTAACATGTACTACGAAATCTTATACAAATTTAAATGTATTTATTTTTTAAAACACACACACAAACGTGTACATTTTTACACGTGTTTTTCCATTTATAAAATGGTGCCTGGTGTCTGTCTGTCCCTTTCCTGCCTCCAGCGCTCCACTCCTTTCTCTGCAAAACTCCTTGATTTCCAACCCCTCACTTCCTATTATACTCACCTCCCTAATGTCTTCAATATATATCTCCTTAAGGAGATTTAGATCATTTACTAAAGATTGAAAACTTCTTTAATGTCTATAATTTAATATCTTTATTTTCTAATTACTGTAAATGATGTAAAATCAAGTGATTCTGGGATTCTCCATAAAAAAAAGTTCATTGTGGAGTCAAGATCTATAATTCCCTTTGCTGTACTAAAAGTATGTCAAAAATAATGTAGAAATACTGTGTGTGCTCCAGATATTCCAAACTCTGACTGGTATTCAGAGCATCCCAACCAGGATGAACAGGCAACGTCAGCGTTCAACTGAAACGGCTCCTCGGGCCACAGCTACCTATGCTTTTCTATTCATTTATCATATCAAATTCTATTCATCATGTCAAAGCCCATATAGCCCATCATGTATCTAACTACATTTCATACTCATGCTTCTACTTTTTCCCAGGGAAATTCACTGTTGGTATGTTCTTACCAGAACTAGAGTGGCTTCCCTTCAAAATTTCTCAGGCCACCTCAGGGTTTCATTAGCCTCACGGCTGTTCTGTTAAGCACCAACTGCGGGATTCGGGGCATAGTTAAGGTCAAATCTTTAGGCCCAAAACGTGGTGTGCGGTTGCCAAGGAGTCCCTGGTCTCTCACCCGGAGCTCTGCTCTCTCACACAAATAACTCAGATGTAAAAATACCATTTTAATTCGTTCTCCTCTCTGGCACTGTTTCTTAATTCACATTAGCGGTTTCCGACTATTCCTCCTGTACAAAAAAACATGCCCCTGATAGTGGGCAGTCCTGAGAACCGATCCCTTTGAGATTAACGGGAACTCCATCTAAACTAAAACTACGAGTCTAGATCCCACCGGGAATTCACTTCAGGAACAAACATTGGGGGTGCTTACCGATATCTTTTGAGGTAATCTTTCGCCTTTGTTTCAGGACTGGCTGTGATGCTTCCACTGAACCTGGAGGAAAGGTGATCTCCCTTCTGATCGGGGGCGGCTGGGGGGGCGGCCCTGCGACCTGGGCTGCGGGGACGGTGGGCATGACCTTCTGCATCTTCATCGAGGGCAGGAAGGGAGACTTGCTTGGAGACATACGGCTCTCCAGGGAGCGCTGAAAGGAGGCGGGGCTGGGCGCTCGGGAGATGTGGTTTGGCAGTGACGGTGCCGTCGGGTAGGATGACTGAGGCGGGCGCGTGATGGGCTGCATGGAGGCTGAAGAGGACATGTAAGGCTGACGCTGGCTGACATGAGAAGGCCACTGGCTCTCGTGATTGATCCTTTGATCAGGTACCATCATGTCATCCGTGCGGCTCATGCCTGGATAAGGAGGTGCCTGCGCGGGGCCGCCGGGGCCCTGCCTGTTCTGGTAGGGGTAAGGCATGTCATTGCGCGCTGCCCACATACTCTGCTGTGGCCCCTCGCTGGAGGACGCCGGCATGGGGCCGCCCAGCATCTGTGGCGGGATGGCGTGTGGCTGCATCTGCCCGGGGCCCTGCATCCGCTCTCTGTTGTAGGGGTACGGGTACTGCCCCTGCACGGGCCTCCGGTCTGGCCCGGAGTAAGAGCTGCCGTACTGGTTGAACATCTCCTGCTGCTGCTGGCTGCCATACTGCATGCTGTACATGTCTCCCTCATGGCGTTTGGCTGGCGGCCCGTACATGCCGTCCATATGGCGTTTGTAATTCTGAAACTCACATAAAGGCAAATCATACTGATGTGCTTTTACAGGTGTAATCACACACTTAAATTATGCAAAATAGTTATTACCTGGTGGAATGCTCAATTCAAAACGAATATGGGAAGCGCCAATGACAACTAACAGCTAACGACTTAGGGACCGTATTTCAGTGTCAGTATTATTTAATACAGCCTCATGCTCTCTGAAGAGGGCTTCCAAAGTTTGTTTTCACATGCTTGAAATTTTCTGTGGGGAAAAAAAGCCTTCTCTTTTGCTGGTAATTCCCAGGGCTGCAATACTGGGGGAGTACAGCGTTGGTGACTGCCACATAGGCCGTAAGGACGGGGCCCTGGTTGCCCCATGATGACCTGGGTGGGTGGAAGGGCAGCTCACACGGGAATGGGCTGAGCATCCTTAGGGCCATTCTGGAAGGTTCCTGACTGAACAGATTTCTTAGGCCTTTGCAGAAATGCCTCCACATGGACCTGGCTTCTCAGACTGGCCTCAGGCTACCTGACACCCAGCCTTCCCAGGTCACATGCCCAGGAAAGCCTTGTTGGCCTCAGTCTCTAAGGACAGCTGGTGCAGCTGTTACTGAGCTCTCCTCCTGGGGACAGTGCAGGTACCAGCATTCGACCAGGGTGGGGTACCTTCTGATGTGAGTGAGGTGCTGATGTGTTAATCAGCATTCTTTCACTTTACTTGAAAATTGTTTAAGGTCAGTTGATTTAATAATACAATTCACTGTACATACATGCTCTAGTAAAATTAATGTTTAAAACCCCCTCCATTTTCCAAGAGGTCTTAGACCTCAAAAGTTGTTTAGAAATAGCAAATTCCTGTGTCTGAAAAGCCACAGCATGATGTGCAATTCTGTGTATGGGTAGTGGGAACTGCAACGAGCTGCAAGTGCTGCATAAACCCACCCATACAGCCAAAGTACATGGGCACTAATTTTGGGCTTATTTTTTATGGTCATTTGTATGGTTTATTTTTAAAGAGCCATGTGACTTTCACTATTAGTATATAATATTTTAAGTTGTTTTTTCTACATATCCTCTTTAAAACCTTATTGACAAATTTCTGTTCTAAAATGGCATTTGATACAATACGCACACAAGACTTTAAAATTTACCTAACTTGGGTTTGTTATTATTTACAAGGAGGAATGTCCTTAACTTCTTACAACATGTTATATTTGTTTCAGGAGACCATGTATCAACAGCTATTTTTAATTTGCTGATTTCAAAATCCTAACGCTATTTTCCAGCATAAACAAAGCTCAATGAATGCTCATCATTTTTGCTGTACTTCCTAAAACTTTTCAGAACTAAACCAAGTTTGAGCTTCAAGCAGGAAGCACAGATGCCCGCCTGTGTGCCAACTCACCGGCTGCTGCGGGTACAGGCCGGGCTGGTGTCCTCCATACGGCGGCTGTCCTGAGGGCGGGCCTTGGCTTGCGTACTGCTGCCCGTAAGGCTCATGTCTAGAACGAGGCATTCAAAGAATACTTCACTGACCAAGGACCCCAGGCCATGAGAGAAATGAACAGCCCATGTCTGGAAACTCCGCACCCCTGAACAGCTTCTGCTTCACACCCTCCAACAGAGGCAGGCGGAAAAGCAGCAGCACTTCTCTGAGCAGAAGGGATGACAGCACCACCATGGGAACGCTGCCCATCTCCGGCTGCAGGTGCCAGAGGAGTCCCGCGGGACAGGCTGCACCCTCTGCCTTTGAGCAGAGGCCCCGCCCAGCCACTGAGGCGTCCCGGGGAGTGTCAGGAACATTAGATATGAGGTATTAATGAAAGCAGAGAACAACAAAACGAATCTGCCAGTCAAAGCAGCATTTCTAAAAGTACCAACATGGACATATAATCAATGATGAGGGAAATGCTATTTATTTCTTTCTCATGAATATAAAATGCTCAACTTTTTAAAGACACACTTCAAAATGAATCCAAATGATACTGAGTTAACTAGTAATATAACTACTCAAAATTTTAAAGTCCAATGACCCTTAGAGGCTACAGAAAAGAATAAAGGGATGATTTAAATGAACTGTTAAATTTTTAAATGGGAATGAAAATACATTGATTTTTCAGCTGCTGCTATATTGAGAAATTATACCATAAGAATACCATAAGAATAGCATGTTTAGAAGAGCAACAGATATGAAATTTTAAAAAATAAACTGGTTGGCTTAGTATAGTTAGTATTCTGTAAGAAAGAGAACACTTGGACTGAATATATTCCTAAACTGGTCATGCCATGAGAATAAGAAAATAAATAAATTTTAGAATTACCACATGCAAAACAAATACAGGGGATGTTTTTGATAACAATATTGACATCTAGTAGGAAGCTAACTTTAGGACAGAAACATAACTGACATAGATAAAATTTTAGCTGAACAGGTAATGTATTCCAGGAAAGAAAACTTAATGAGGTAAGCCCTACTGTGGCAGAGCCAAACTAACCTTTAAACCTAGGCCATGCAATGCTCTAGAAAGCATTCTAGAGGAAATAGAAAAGTATATTTGCTTGGGTTCCTCCTAATCTCATCAGCCCTCCCAAAAAGCTTTCCCTGGACCCTCAAAAACAAGTGAAATCCCGGATCCAGTAAACTGAACACCAGCAGTAGTTAACTGATTGCTGGAGACATCACACATGAACACCGAGCACTCAGGACCAGGGTAGGAATCAGAGGCCTAGGCTCTTCAGTCTATCTGAAAGCACCTACCACTCTGAGCATGTGATGGCTATGCAACCTCAAGAACCAGGCTCAGGGAGAATGCCAGAAAAAAAAATCCTTATGTGGCAAAACAGTGATTTTTCCAAACTTTTTTCCCTTTGTATTATACCAGGGAAGCCCTTTTACTATGCTGCAGCACGTGGGCGTACTAAGGGCAGGGGTGTTGGTAAGAGGTCTTCTCCAAAAAAGAATTCTACCCTAGGCCCCTGTTTTAGGGAGCAGCTTTCGATGACCTCTGGGAGACATTCAATGGCTCTCCTTTGATCTTATTAAAAATATGGGTCAATCCTGCCATGTAACTTGGCATTTTAATGTCAAGATGCCACCTTGCAAAGAAGCATCCTGAAAAAAGACTACACTGTGGCTTTTCTCAGAGATGTTTTTAAGAAGCCAAGTATTCTCTCTGTGTAAATGGGCATAGGAAACAGTGCTGGGAAAACCTTCTTGAGAGCAGAGTCCGCTGATAGCCGTGTGGCCGCCCCTGCGCAGACATGCCCCAAGGAGGAAACGCAGGTGGGAAGGAGGCGTGGAGGGGAGGGAAACCTGGTTCTCGTGGAGGCTGGGGGCTGCCTCCACAGGGCATCTGGTGCTGGACGGCCCAGCTCCTGAGTTCACAGAAGAGGTCTCTGGGCAGGCCAGCCCCGCCCCAGCATATTTCTTATCTGTGCTCCTGGGCAACTGCTTACTGAAACACAGCTGAACCTGGCTGCTGAGACAAAGACCTTCTCATTCTGAGTGTGTGTGTGTGTGTGTAGAGCACAGTTTCTAGTAAATCCTCTCACCTTTTTAGAAAACACTCACCTTCGATCATAGCTGGCTCCATAGGGAAACTGCTGTCGCTGCCCCATGCCCAGCCCGGACATGGCACTGGAGGGGCTTTGGTTATACATGTCCTGCATACTGCTTGTGGGCATCTGTCCTTGGGTCATAAAGGGCTCACTACTTCCAGGCACTGCAGTATTTTAAATAACAGGCACAAAATTAAGCATTTTCAAAAGCCAAAGGGCCCAGACATCCCTTTCTAGTCATTTCTGTAATCCTTACAACTATTTGTATTGTTGCAGATGGCAGAGAGAGGACGACTCTTGATGGGTCCTGTGGGGGTGGAATTCCCAAGATGCGCCCCGCCCCCAACCAAGTATGCCTCCTAGGAGCCCCTCCCTCGAGTGCAGGTAGAACCTCTGAATATGATGGGATGTCACCTGCATAATTATGGGACATCACCTGGTGAAAGGGATTTCACCGATATAATGAAGTTACTGTTAGCTGACTACGAGTTTGACAAAAGGGCGACTATCCAGGTGTGCCTTTTAAATCCGCATCTAGAGGTCAGAGAGGGAAAATGTCAGCAGCTCTCCTGGCGGCTGTGCAGAAGCACCCACCATGCAGTGGGAAGGGCTGTGTGTTAGCCTCTGGGGCCTCCTGCAGCCCCCAGAGGCATCAACAAGACAACAGGACCTCAGTCTCACAACTGCCAGGAATGAAATTCTGCCAAACTCAACAAGCTCAGAGGAGGGCCCTGGATCTCAGATGAGATCGAGTGCCAGTGGACACCTTGACGGCTGCTGTGGGAGACCACGGGCCGAGAGCCGGCAGGACCTGAGATGGCAAATTCACGCTATTTCAGGCTGCTAAGTTTGTGATGATTTGTTATGCAGTGATACAGAAAAGCACAGGCCTTTACTTGGGTAGGTTACTAAACTTCTGAGTTTAAGTTCTGTCTATAAAATGAGGTTGGTAACACCACTTCACGAACAATTGTGAAAAAAAGATGTAACTTTTTCCCTTATAGGAAAAAAGTGAATACCTTAACATAAACACCTATCCACTGACTCACTCCAAAATTAGGATAAAGAAAATCACCAGGGAGTTAAGAACAGCTCAAGAATGGATGAGATACAACTATTTCTATCAGGGGGCAGAGTGGCAATTAGGTCAGATATGCAAATTGGCATCAGCTGAGAGCCTGAAGGAAATTGGGTCAAGCCCAGAAACTAGCCTGTAGGCAAATTAAACATTTTTAATGCAAATCTTAATTGACATACAGTACTACTACCTTTCTTTATCCTATGAAGGTTACTTTCATGTTACAGGAGGCAAAAGCTGATTAAAATTTCCGAGCTGTTAAGATTTGTTAGGCTGGTAGATGAAGCCTGATACTGGTAGGATGCATTTTGCTTTGCAATGTGCTTTCACACACTTTATCTTATTTGATCTCAAATGAACCTGTGGTAGAACCAGTTTTGATGTTACTTTTATAGATGCAGAAACAGACTGATTGACAGAAATTAAAGGGAATCAGAATTAATTCCCTAATACACAAAGAGTTCTTAAAAATCAGTAAGAAAAAAAGATGATCAAATTTAAAAATGGTAAAACACATAAATGGACATTCACAGAAAAAGAAAAATAAAGGGCCAATGAATATATGAAAAGATAGATGACCTCATTAATAATCAAAAGAATTCAAGTTAGAACTTATGAGGCCTCCCCCCAATCCTAATCTAATTGGCAAATATTAAAATGACTGATAATAATGATTCTTAGTATGGCAGTGAGGACCTATGCACTCTCGAGTATTAAGCTGGTATAACTTTCGTCAATACCTGCCACGGTAAGCTCTATTTCGGTGATGTCCAAAGCAGCTCAGACCCGGGTATTCACAGCCTGTGAAGCCCCTTCCTCGCTGAGCTGGGCTTGGCATTGTGGCCTCCTTGACTGCTGGGGCCCTGGCAAGTGCCATGCAGTGGAGGGCTGCAAACCCGTGCAATGGGGCCAGTCCTTCTGGGGTGTTCCTTGGAAAGGCCCTATGCAGGAGGCTCTGGGTGAGTTCCCAGTAGAGCCTGTAGGTGACACCGGCCACTCAAGGGGCATCCCAGTTCCAGTAGAGCCCTTACTCAGGCTTCCAGGGGGTGACAGCCACCTCAGTGTCTCAGCTGACAATACACGGAGCAAAAAACCGCCCTGTCCACAGAGAACTGTGAGACACAAGGAAGTGTGGTTGAAGCCACTAAGTTTGGGGGTAGTTTGTTATATAGAAGAAGTTACTCAGTACCTAATAAAGGGTTCATATCCTTTGATTCACTTACTCTACTTCTAGGAATGTATTTCACAAGAACATTCTTACAAGGGTGAAAAAAAAAGCTGTACTTCAATAATCACTGCATCATTGTTTATAATAGCCACACATTATGCAACAACCATCCATTATTAGAGCAAGGAAAAGAATAGGCAGGGTTCTCTGTGTATATAATACCTATATTGATAGACATTCAAAGTATACTCCTAAGTTTTAACAATATATAAATATTCACTTATTGTTCACTTATAAGCAACGACCCCATCCCTCAATCAGTGATGAATGAAGTAAGCAGGTGGGGAAGGCAGGTCGGTGGGGCACAGGAAGCTCTGGGCTCCCAAATCTCAGTGCTGCCTCTTCACCTAGTGCCCCAGCTACAGGTCAGAGCAGGGTAGCTAAGAGCACGGTTCCCATGGACGCTGGCCATTAAACAGATAATCAGAGTACGTCACATCCACCGACAGAACAAGGTTAACTGGAGTGGAAAACTTTGTAACCAGGATAGGGCTGCAAGACAATCTGCTTCCTGTGGGTTTTTTATCTGCTTTAATTTGGTACTAAATATACCAGTGTTGTGAGGTAGCTGGTGAGCTGAAATCTACTGGAAATGTGAGATGGGGCTTCCCTCTGAGCCACTGTATCATTTACATGGTTGCTGAAAACACATCATACAGCCACCGAGTGCCTAGCAAGGTAATCCCAAATCCCTCCTCCACCTCCCAATTACCTCTCATAGTAAGAAAAACTGTTGGCATCAGGCAACAAAAGAAATACAACTCTCACTGTCCAATATAACACATAGATAGGGTATTGGAATGGTTCACAATAACTTCCAAAGCCAGATTCCAATATTACCAATTATCTTTTCCATGTTATTGCCATATTTTTCAGTCTAAAAATGTTATACAACCACCAACAGCCCTAACAAAATGTTCTTTCTAGTATCTCCTACCACTGGCTACCTCCAACATTCACGAAGCTTTTGAATTCCTGAGGTTATGCATTTACTGCATGTTCTTCAAAATCTTTACTTGGAACAAGCCACTCAAACTTTTTGAAAGGAAAAATTATAGATTACCTTGCTTTACATAATGAACAACTGAAATACTATATATGAAATATAGTCTATTTGTTAATTAAATGGCATATGCCCAATATTTAAAAATTTGAGATTATTTATTTTTATTTTTCATTGGTCCATAATACTTGTGAAATCCACGGCTTTGGGCTTCATGGTTCTCTCTAAAGACACAGTATGTCTAGAAATTATATCCCAAACATCTAAATACGACACAAGTACTATTATTTAAGGGATCCCAGAAATAAACACTTGCATAAAAATATTACTATTTTTCTGTAATTTTTTCAATAATATCCACACATCATGCCTCAATTTCAATGGACCAACTGCATGCGGAAGAGTGCACAAAACGCTTGGAGCTTGTATGCCACACAAGGAGGCGGAAAGGGCAGAGGCTTAGGCGGCTATGATCTCAGAGCTGTAAGCATTGGGGATTTAAGCTTAAGGGGAAACCAGCTTGGGTATTTGCTAACGTCGGTCAGAACTCGCCTGGACTTCCGACCACCATCCACCCCACAGTTGTCGATACCATTTCTCTCCTTAGTTAATCTCCAAAATTACTCCTCATTCCAATGGTCTTCCCAGCTCCAGACGTACATCCCACCACGTACCCACCTCAGCACCTGCCAAAGGCAGCTTTGGATTTCCTTCTCTACCCTGTTCATTGCCCAGCTGCCCACCTGGCGGGTAGGACAGTGAACCTTTACTTCCCTTATGACCTGCTCCCTGTCCCGACTCTCCACAGCTAAGGCAGCAGTGCCTTCACCCTCTGTCATCCCCGCCCGGCTCCTCCCTTAACCCCCACGCTCGCTCCATCAGCACTGCCTGAGAGTCTCTGCAAAAGAGGTAACAGGTGCTTCCTCTCCTGCCCCTGCTGCTGGTGTCTGGCTCCCACCGTCACCTCTCCCCAGACAATGACAGTGCTCCCTCCCATGCTGTCCCCACAGGCCAGTTACTCACTCACTTCCACACCAGCCCTGTGTTGCCACAGGCCTCCCTTGCTCCCTGCTCTTCTCAGACCAACTCCTCATTGGTCAGGTCTCGGCAGGTAACTGACATCCCAGAGCCCTGCCCTCCCGGCACCCTCTCTAGGAGATGTCCCCTCCTCCCACTGCCTCCAACCAGTATCATTAATCTGTGTGTCCTTTCTTCATTTTTGTTTCCTTCTTTCCATCAACTATCATCTTTAATTATATATTTGTGGTTTAACATTTTGTTTGTTCCCCCTAAGAGATGGTGAACTCCACCAGGGATGAATGCCTGATTTACCCAGCCCTGTGCCCAGCCCTGGCTAGTAACTGCATGCCGCCTGCCAGCACTCAGAGCATGCGTGTTTACTGCACATGCTGGCCACTCTGGTACGAGTGTTCTGTGCATGAACTCCACTAATCCTCATGATACCCTTATGGCAGCTCATATTATTATCCCAATTTCTAGATGAGGAAACCGAGGCACAGATACTAGGTATTTCCTCAAGGCTGATAATTTAGTATGTTGGGGAGCTGGGACTCAAGTGTGTCCCACACGTATAAGCAAACTGGTGGTGGGATGGCAGAGAAAAGAATGCCCTCTGGACCAAGCCTGAGTGGAAGTCCCTCTGCATTTACCTTTTCTCATTCCACCAAAGGGGTCCTTGTTGGGTTCGTAGGGCACCCTGCTCATCACATCTGGCATGCTCATGCCCTGCTGGTATGGGGTGCTCGGAGTCATGGAGTTCCGTTTTGGGAACGATGAATCACTGGCGTCTGAGAATGGGTCGTGCACACTGACTGTACTGCTTCTGAAGAGGTGAGAAAAGTAGAAGTTTAATGAAATAGCAGGAGTTACCTCTAAATGCTCATTCAGAAAACAAGCCAATCTTGAAATTTATAAATGCTAAAACCACTGAAAATAAACTGCACGAATAAAGGTGGTAATAATCAACACTTACAAGCTTACTAGGGAATACCATGTCTTCCCTCTTTAATATTTGCTTCAGAAAATTAAAAGCTAGACTCATCTGATTTTGTATGACTCAGAGACCTTTTAACATACCTTCCTCCTTGCATTGGGGTCATCTGTCCATGAGGGGTGGAGGCTGGTGTAGGTGGCTTCAGGTCCCCCGGAACCTCTGCCATTGAATTACTGCCAGTTGACTGGGGGGTCTGTGGACCTTGTAGGGATCCTGAGTTAGCTGATAGTAGAAGTACCAAGAGAAAATGAGCAAAAAGTTAGAGGTTATCAAGTAAGCTCATCCTTGCTGATTTAAAAAGGAGAGAAAACAAGATACCATCTTATTAGAATAGTAACATCTATTATGATAACAATATAGTAAAATTAGTTGCTCTTACATTGTTTATAGTGAAAATTAGTAGTTTTTTTTTTTTTAAATAATCTGTTTGGCAACATACTTCATTTGTAACCCCTAAAACCTGTTTACACCTTTTGACTGGGTAACTGCCTTCCTGGGTACTTACCTCAAGAAAGTAATCTAATATAAAGAAGGCTTTAGGGAGAAAAATGTTTATTTCAATGTTGTTTATAATAATCTAAATGTCTGAGAATAAGGAAAAAATTGGATGAAAATTTTGGTGTATCAATTTGATGGACCATTGTGCTGTTCCAGAAGAAATTAGAAAATCTAGTTCTAGGTCTTGGGAAATGAGAAACGTTTAAGTTGAAAAGCAATGACACAACCTAATGAGCCTTGCGTCATTTCAATACCTTCTCAGTGTCCGGATGTGTCTATGCTCTTTCATTACTAACAGTAATTTTTGGAGCTATGAAATCAGATTTGTTATTACAAAATGTAAGTTTGGAGTTCTTGAATGTCATTATCAGAGTTCCAAGATATGGCTTTAACTCTGATTACACTGTATAACAGAGCTCAGAACTGAGATCTTTTCAAGTAAGTGGGATCCTTAATTTTTTTATAGGAAAAACAACATTTCTTGCTTTTTCATCATCTATTGTAGTTCCTTAGCATGTTAGCTGCTCAATAGATACTGGTCTCATTTATTAATTAAATAAATGCTTATTGAATAAATAATGTGTGTCCTGTATTGTAGGCTCTTTTCTATGCCTGGATGCACTAGCACACCAAACGACAAGACAAAGATTCCTGCCCTCCTGCAGTTTACGGTAAGTACTAAGTCACAAATGGCAGAGCTGCTGGGTGCTTGTAAGAAAGAGTATCTTATTCTCTATATGCAGCTCCTTTCCTAGTAGGGTCTCAAGGCTCACTGCCATTACCACCATCCACATTTTACTTTAGCGGAAACTGAATTAAACAAGCCATGGAGACTACAGAGTGTGCTACAAAGGCATCAGAAGCGGAAGGGTCTACTGCTCTTACTCAGAAAGCCTCTGGTGAACACAGACATCTCCGGGGGGTCAGGCCAGCCCTGGTCCTGGCCTGCTCAGGAATGAGTACTGATGACTGGCCAGCGGTGCTGTGAATGCTGTACACTTGTCTCCCAGGGGTGCTTGGGACTGAAGGTAGAGTCAGGGAAGTTCTCAGAGACTCTGGGAAGACTGGCTTTTAACAAAGATGTCTTTTCAGATACAAATATTGCAAAAGAAAAACTAACACCTGTTTATAAACCAAATTTTGGTGGAACCCTGGAAGTTCACATTTAAAAAGTAGATTATAATTACTAAAAAAAAAGGAAAGTGTTCTATAAATATATAAAGATAATTCTACAGACACGACTGCTCCACAAAGCTGGCCCGAGAGATAACCTGCTTCTTAAATCAAGGACCAGATTTCACAGTGGCCTACACAGCTTCCTCAGAAACATGGTTCACGAAGCTGTGATTTCAGGATGACCCTTATTTGTAAGTATTCACATTTACAGTTAATAAAAAAAAAGGAAAAAACTCTTCCCCCTTGCCAGTGTTTTTTCCTTCCTTTCTGGAAGAAAAAAATGAATGCAACCTCTTGAAGCTGGCACACTCTCTAGCATATCCCTACCTTTTGCCAAAAGCTACAAATGTATACTCGAAAGTAAACAATGGAAAGGTTACCAAAGGTTAAGCACATTCACACACTTCAGACTGTACCGCCAGACTCCTAGCTGGGAAGATAATTTACACGGCACAGACCTGGTGCCCTCGTTCTGGCAGTGGGTTTGCAGGACACAGGGTAGGGAGAAGGCAGAATAGCTGATGTGTCCCAGGTCTGCAGTGACTAGGGGTCACCCAGAGGGCACCTTTGTTTATAACCCCAACTCCTTTCTCATTTATCTTCCACTGAGGATTCCCTAGTTGGAGCCATGACAGGTTTTGTGACATCACCTGTCAGCTAATAATAGAAATGCAGTCAGCCACCTGCCAGCAAAGATGGATGGGTTTTTGGTTACAGACTTACTGAGTGGAGCTTCCTTATCTCCCCTCTCCCCTTCCTGGCCAGGCCTCCCCCAGCTCCAGCAGGCCATCCAGGCCGCCTGGGGAGGTGATGCCTCTGGGCGCTCATCAGAACTCCACTGACTTTTACAGGCTTAGTACAATGAGGTCCGCACTGGCACCTCAGAGATGCAACCGTACCCCCAGGCCTTGTCCAGGTCTCACTTGGGAGCCTTCCTCCGCTGACCTGCTCTAGTCACTGGAGGACAGAAACCTGGATCTCCGGCCTGAGAAACCGAACAGCCACTCAACAGTGAAGACAAGGATGCAGCCCCAAAGGCTAAAAAGGGGGTGTGTCTCCTGGGGACTGACAGACCTGAAGTTCAGATCCCCACTGCAAATCAGAACTGGACTCCAGATGGCTGACTCCAAATGTGAGCAGAGCCCAATGGTCTAGGACTGGGGTTGGTTCAGAGCGACCATTTTAAAAAACATTTCAGAATGTTTCTCAAGAACTTTGTAGTTCAGTTTGCCTGCGCATGCTGGTAAGGAATAAGCTACCTTCTTATGGGAAAAACTGACTTCCAAGAATACAAATTTTGCTGACAATTAGTTTTTTTAAATTTTGTGGTATATGAGATCCTGACATGGCAAATGGTTAGGAATACTTCGTTTTCTTTGACAAGAAAACCATTTCAGAGACATTTTTCTTAATGAAATCAGAGAGCCACTGATTCATGGATGCTGAGGAAACGCCTGGGTTTTGGTTATGGGGCTGGTGTTACTCGCTACCCAGTGGCCAGTCCGTGTGTCTGTCTTGCTGAGCAGCGCCCAGAACATGGCTTGGTGCACCCGCATGAGGCTTCGGGGCCACCTGGCCGAGCTTTCCCTCCCCTGCTTCCTGTTCATAGGTCTTTGCCTCCATTTGGGCCACTGAGAAGATTATCCCAAGTGTACCTGCAATCCGGCACTTTTGTGCAGTTCAAATGATAATATTGCCATAAAAATGGTGATTTAAAAAAAAGGGAAAGAGGCAAGAGCGGACTGTTAAGAAAACAGACCCTGTGCTTTCGGAAGCATCTACACCTCAGCAGGGTTTCTTGTACTGAAGCTGGTGCACACTGGGAGAGCTATACTCCATGCAGGAGCGCAGACCATTTGGTGACACGAGTTCTTTCCCGGCAAATAAAATACGCCTTTACATCTTTGCAGACGACGCCACTTTGGTCCCTACACCCCACTGGGTTTTTATTTTGAAAAAATGGTTGCAGAGCTCTTCACAGGCAGCTTGCTTTACTTGTTGAGCTGAATATAATGTTGTGAGATTTTTAAAATTAGATTTCACATATTTTAAGGTACACCATAACTGGCAAAGACTTCAAGTCTTTAAGGGTGGGCTAGAGAGGAGGATTTCTACTTGTCTTTAGAACTGACACATCTATATCCTCTATATCCAGGAGATTCACTACAAATGCACTTTGCGCCCCAAAGGTACTCATCTTTATGTGAGAGCCCTTGGTTAGCGACCTTAGGTATTAGTATTGCTATCTAGACAGCAGCTACAGGAAATGATTAAAAAGGAAACAACTGCTCTGTGTGGCTCACAGGTACCACCTTCTATGTGTAAACAGCTTATTACGTGTGCCAAAGCCATTTAAAATCCAGGCGGGGGAGATGGTAGGTACAGGCATAATGCTAGAGCTGGGTGCGTGGGGCCACAGCCCAGTATGTCTATTCGTGGACAGCGTGACTTCGAGTCAGTGACTCAGATGTCGGGAGCCTTGGTTTCTCACGGACTTTAGAGCAGTGTCTGCGCATAAGGGGGATGTGAAGATGAAGTGATGAAGCACTCGGAGAGGCGCCTGGCACCCTGCACGTGCTCCAGACGTACTGGCGTTCACGGTGACCATTTGACCCCAGAACAGCCTGTGTGATGGGAAGTGACAGGCCAACTGGCCCCATCCTGTATGTGGACAGTGTGCGGCTTTGACGTGGCCAGAAACAGACAAGAGAACAGCTGGACTGAACGTGAGGGACATTACACCCAGAACTAAGAATAACGCAAATTTCTTCCCATGTCTAATATTGTACTTATAAGAATATAGTGATTCAGCGATTTCAAACCTGACACCCTAAAAAACAGAACAAAGGCCAGCAGGAGCACTGAGAGAGTGGCAGGGTCTCCAGCCACGCATGCACCATTCACTTGGTTTGCTTATGAGAATTTAGGTGAACCACTGTTATTCCCAGGGAGTATTCCTAAGGCTCCCGACCTCTTGGTCAAAGCTGAGTGGACTACCCTGTCTCAGAAATACAGCTGTATGGAGCGTTACCCTAACAGTTTGCTGAATACACTAAAAACAAAGTCCAAATTTCACTTTGCTAACATGCGAATCTGAGTGTCCCTGAGAGGAGGAGCTAGTGGAAGCTGGCTGTTAAGCCTGCAGGGTGGCGTTTTCCAGTAGTATGAAAGGACAAGCACAGGCTACTGGGGGGGCTTGTCTGACATAAGATGGGATATTTAAATACGTGCACAAGGAATAAAGGGGTACAGCTTGGAATTCCAAAGTCTACTCTGACCAAATAAGGTATGGCCAAAGAACGGTACCTTCCAAGTGCTAACAGGAAGGGAACGATGCACATGCCCTCTCTATTCTCTTAAGCACTGCCAGTGGGGGCTCACTGAAATAGACAAAACAAAGCAAAATGCCCCTTTGCTCAAAGATGCCATGTTCTCGGTCTGCATTACTAAGCGGCCTTCTCGGAACCCGGAAGGGGCCTGTGGAGCCTCCAGCCCCAGCTGAGGGGGGTGCCCCTGGCTCTTCCCGGGCCACAGCTGTAGCGCTCCCACTTACCAGGAGAGGGCGGCTGGAGCTTGGGCTGCTTCTTGGTGTCGGCAGCGCTGAACACTTCGGGCGGGGGCTCCTCCCCTCGCTCGATCTTGCACTCGAAGGCAAACAGGTATTGAATATACTGCTTTTTCAGGGAGCTCGCTGCGCTGCTTGAAGTGCCAACATTGAGGTTGGTTGCCAGCTCACGCCACTTCTTGTTTTTATTAACCTAGCAAAAAAATGGCAGGATCATTGGTTTGCAGCAAAGTGCCTTGTTTAAAGCCGGGAGACGAAAAAAGCACTTAATGTCTTGGTTTACTTTTTTTTTTTTCGTTTGCCTCTTTTAACTAATGCTCATTACTCCCACTCAGTAGTGCACAGGCAGCATTTACAGTTATAAAACCATTAAGGAACCTGCTGATAGCTACATAAAAAGCCCCGCTTGCTGACATTCCTCTGCCTGCCGCCTCTCCTGCCTTGCACTCTCCCGGAGCCCATGCCGCTCAGGGCCCGCGATTTATCTGAGCAAACGTGCACTCTCGCTTTCACTCATCCCATCCCACCTCTAATTTTTAAAAAAGGATGTCTAAAAACTAATTTAAAAAGCAATAACAGAAATATTTTGCAATTTAAGTGCTTGAGCCTTGATATGAAAAACAATGCTTCCTTCCAAGGGCCAGAAGTTCGCAGGAAGACGCGGCTGTAGCTCCGGCCCAGGCCTGCCCTCTCCCACGAGGCTCCCTGCGCCGGGCAGGGGCGACACACGGTGCGGCGGCGAGGAGGCCTCTGACCCAATGACCCTAACTTAAACCGTGCCCAAGCCCCCAGCGGCTGATGCGGCAGGCCCCTGGGGGCCCTGAGGTGGGGCCCAGGGACTGTCCAGCACCCTACTTGTGCTCAGGCTGCAGACAAGTGCAGAAAGACAACAGGAAAAAGGAAAGAAACCCTGAAACAGTACACAAGGATTCTAGGCATTATTTTTTACTTGGGAAACCGCCGTGTGAAGCAAACAGGAAGGCCTGCAAACGCTTGGAGGTTCTATGGCTTTTAGAGGTGCCCTGCGTTGAGTAGCAGGGTAGCCATTAAGGGGACCGGGGTTTTTGACGAAATGCTCCATTTTTGGATTCTAACTTTCTCACAGAGCTCTTCAGTGCTGAAAGGCACATGATGACCAAGCCGCAGAGCGCTCACGGTCATGCTTCACGCCCCTTTTGGCACCTAATGCCAGGCTGCGACCAGCAGGCCAGAGGACCGCCTCAGAAATGGCAGACAGAGCGCTGCCTGGGACACCCTGAAAGGCAAGGCCCTGAGCTGATCCCACGTCAGACACTACCAGGGGGAAATCAAGAAGGGGGGTGAGTGATGCTGCTGCCGACAGGCTCGCCATTTGACCACAGCCACATTCAGGCAGCCCACATTAGCTGAGACCGCAGAGGAGCATACGCACAGCCCCAGCCTGGTGAACGCACATGCCCACAGGGTCAGAGTAGCGTCCTGGCAATCTCCACACTTCTGCAATGGGCAAGACCCAGTTACTTAGTGTCCTGAGGATTCTAAAAACTGTCAGGAACTCCAGGTGTCAGGGGTAAGGTCAGGGCGTCTAAGTGCAGGGGAAAGGTGTATACCTTGATCTCTCCCTCCACTGGCCACCACCCACACCTGGTCTACGTTGCAGGTCTTTCCATCTGATGGTGCAGAGCCTTGATTCAAGCTCTAACTGTTCCAGTTGTAGGTCTCAGGTCCCTGGCGGGATGGGGCGTATCAAGAGAGGCTGAGGACAAAGGCCTTGTGTCCAGCCCCTGGAGCTGTGCAGCACCGAGACCAGGCTGGGCCCACAGTGACAGGTGGGGTTTTGGTGATTTATCCTTGGATGGTAAGCGACATGCGCCACCTGCCTGGAGTGGAGGGTGCCACGCTGTGTCCTGGACCATCTGGGGCCCAGAGTGGCTCCTTCCATGGATCTGGATGGAAGCCCAGGTACCAATACGTGATTTAAAAGCTCCCCCAGATGATTCTAGTGGAGAGGCAGGCCCGAGAACTAGGGGTAGATGAGAAGAGCACTCCTTTTGGAATCAGACAGGCCTGACCCTGCCACCTACCCTGAGCGAGTTCCTGAGCCACCACATCATTGTACTTCATTTTGTTTTGGTTTCCTCATCTTTTTGGGGCTGATGGTCCCTGCATTTTATGGGTATTTAGAAAGACCAAGAAAACACAAAAAGGTAAAGTACAGTGCCTGGTGTGCAGTGGTCACTCAGTCATTAGTACTTTCAGGCTCCTACCTGTAGAACATGTACACACAAACTAGACTCCATCTACAAGCAGGCTGGGACTCGGGGAGAATTTCAGGGGACACTTGCTTTGCGAGGCAGGCAAGCTCAGGGCAGGCTCTGCCCCACCTCTGAAAATGAATGCCTCCTGCAATTCTAGATGCCAGAGCCGCCCCTGCCCCTCTAGGACCAGCTCAGTGAAAGCACGATAGCACTGACCCTTTCCCTGCCCAGGGACTGTGGACATGGCATCAGAAGCATGACTTGATTTTCCTCATAAATTGTTCTGGATAGAGGGAAACAGTGAATCTGATTTATAACTGATCCAGGCAATTAATTTGGTTATCCACAAAAACATTTCTGGAGTATTTATTATAAAATCTTGGCAACCCTAAGAACTCTACAACTGTCAGGGAACATAAAGAAAAAAAAAATCTAGCCCAACTCTTTCACTTCAGATGAGAATTGGGGTCCAGAAAAATGACTTGCTGAAGTCACAGTGCGGGCTGGTGGCAGAGCTGGCACTCTAGGCCCAAGGCAACCCCTCCAGCACACAAACCCGGCCCCCATCAGATGAGAATTGGGGTCCAGAAAAATGACTTGCTGAAGTCACAGTGCGGGCTGGTGGCAGAGCTGGCACTCTAGGCCCAAGGCAACCCCTCCAGCACACAAACCCGGCCCCCATGGACTGTGACTTTACCATAGGCTCAGCATCTTCTTGAAAAAAACTCGGAGTCTGTAATTCCAAGCAGCCTGCTGTGAGAGCTTATCTCCAGGGTCTCCTCACTCAGCCATGCATACCTGTGCCAAACCTCCAATCTCCTTGACACAGATGTAGAGGCGAAACAGGTCCAAGGGCTTCTTGCCCACCGCAGGCAGGCTGGAGACAGGAGAGCCTCTCTCCTCCATGAAGGTCAGGTATCGGTCCACCCACAGCTTTCTCTCCGGCTCATTCCCTAACTCATAGACCTTTGTGATCTTCTCCCCCGTGGTGGAGGATGAGCTGGACTTCTAGTGCCCACGAGCAATATTTGGAGAGGGGGCATAGGTGGGCAGAGGGGAAGGGAAAAGGTGAGAAAGAAGCAATGAGCTACCAAATACAAGAAGAGAACAAATTTAAAGCTACTGCTATCACACAACAATTAGGAATGAAGGCTACTAGTTCAGGCACAAACTATACATTTTCTTAATTAAGACTTTACTTTGACTTTAAATAAAGAGCCCAAACTCCCCCTTTTATATACTTAAAAAAAAAAACCAAAACCTTTTTTAACTTTATTGATAGAAGCGTTGAATCCCAGAAGGCAAGATTCCAATGACACCTCACGTCATTTTTAAATAAACGGATGCTAGCTCACAGAATGATAGTGGTGAGTTTAAAATCCCACACGTGGTCCCATGGAGCCCCCAGAACTAAGGACTGCTACTTTCCCTTGTCAAATACAAATGGCTAATATGTGTCTTCATTAAAATGCTGAATCATTGGAGGAAGAGCAAATACACTGTACTTGCTGAAAAATGTGAAGGTAGGCCCCCAAATCCCAGGAACTGGTGGTGGGGCTCCCTGTGCATCTGAGAGCTTTATCAATGAATGGCTGGCTGAAATTTTGGCATTTAATCATGATGATCAGCTTTTTGAACTTCTCTGCCAAGGTAAGGTGCAATTAGATAATTATTTTTACAGATTTCTTAGGCAACTGTGTTTTAATCACAAACAACTGCCAACTTCATATTCCCAGTGTAACTATGGATAATGATGCACATGGGTTTATGTGCCTGTGTGGTTTATACTGATGCTCTAATTCTTGGTCTTCTTTTTTTAATTCTACCAAAAATGTCAAGATACTAATGTGTCAAAAGCTGCTGTTTCTGCACACCTGAAGCCCACCCTCTGGATTATATGATCTGGGAAGGTAACACTTCTAAATCTTAAACAGCCTAACTGTGTATTTTCTCTTTCTTTTATGTCTCTGTATTTGTAACAATATTTGTGTGCTCATAATATCTGCAACTCGTGGGTAATTATGCAAAATCACTTTTAAGTTCTCAATGAAGAATTCTTTGGAACAGTAATTTACTTCATTTATTCTTGCAAGGTAGCTATTATTTTAGATGGAGTTTTCCATTATATATAGTTGAACATAATTTTAAACACACTGCTGAAACTTTGGGGGTTAAATGATTGCCACTGAGATTTTATGCTATCTGGTTTAGCAAATGATCCACAATATAAGTAGGGCCTGAGAAAGGATGCCTGAGAATGAAACCAACGAAGTTGCTGAGGGGCAGTTTTCCCTTTAGTTAACCTGTAATTGTCCTAAGCTTTTCTGCTGAAATTTTAAGCCTTCAGCTTTAGAATTATGGAGGCACAAAAACTTTATATCCAATACACAAAAATGGGTCATGCAGTTGATGTAAATAAAAAAATATAGAGTGGAAGGATAAAAAAATAGTATGCTCTTTTAAGAATTCACATCGACACTGAGGCTAAACTGCAAGTCACTTAAAATTACCTTAGGTAAGAGCTTAAAAATATATATTACATGTTCACATATATGTATATATATCGATATACATACTCAGAATATGGAACACACTGTATATATCCAAATGGTATGTCTTTGAATTTTCTTTTCCATGTTCTTATACCCAAGGAATATTTGACTGGGAAAAGCAACTGTTCTAACATGTTTTAGAACACTTGAGAAAATTTCAGAAGCTTTGTCATCATTAATGGGGTAGTTATATCAGTAAGTCTCTAAATGCTGGCATTGAAATATTTTTTCTTTTGGGGAGGTACACTAAAAAAATGGGTCCAAAGTTTTTTAAGAAATGAAAATTTGAAATAAGAACATGACAAAAAGCATTATCACCCAAAATCGATTAAAAAAACCTCTAAACCCCCTCTTGAATTTCATTTGTGAAAAACTGAGGCTTGAAATTCGATTTAAGGAGAAGAGCAAAAAGCAATCACATCAATTTGAAATCACCCTGAGTAGCTTCACCATTGTCCTGCATGTAAGACCCAACTGCCATTTCTGGCATGGTCAGTTCGGGACCTGAATGGAATCAGGTTCTGGAAGAACAGTTTATTGCGACCCGAGCCACGAGGCAATGGGCATGTCTGCTATCTGTGAAGGGAATGGGTCTCATAGCCTGAAACAGAACTGATACAGCCTAAGACAGTGATTTCCTGAGTTTGACTACAGATATTTTAACTCTTCTTACCTTTCTTTGTTAAATGAACTTAAGTTTAATTAACTTCTGCACATCTCAGCTCCCATAAAATTAGAAAAGCTTAATGAAAACATTGTTTTTAATACAATTGTTTTAAATTTCATAGTTTCCAGATCTTCAAAGAAGGTCTGAAGATTTTTAGGGCATCATAATATAGGAAAATGCATTTGTATGAGAAGAAAGCGGTCAGGCCTCAGTTAATGTGTTAGGTCCCAGAGAGGCCTCCTCTGATGCCCTCTCCCTAATCTGAACCATCCTGTCAGGCTTTATTTGTCCTTAGCGTGACCTGGTTGCACAGTGTACAAAGTACATGTTTTGCTGGGATTATTTGTCTGCCTTTACTTTCCTGTAAGTTCCACAAAGCAGGGTTTGTGCTAATTTTGAATTGCCAACAGTGACTGCGCACTGAAGGTATGGTGAGTGTTCTGTGTTCTGTGAACAAATGCGCAAATGCACGAAAAGGTCTGAAAAATCTGGCGCCATCCAACAAGAATTAATAGTGAGTCAAGTACCCTCAACAGGACTTCAGACAAATCCAGTAAGACTGAGAGCTAGGAAGGGACACTGTCCAGGGCTGGTACCTAACTTCTGCACCCCAGCCTCAAGGTCTGCTTACTAGTTGGTTACCGAAGTTCATATTTGGGTGTCCAAACAGAAAAAAGGAAGTTAAGAGAGACTAAAGCCTTAGGAACTAAAGACTACATACTTTATCACTGATCAGGTTTAACACATACCTTTTCTGTCATAGACATTAGCTATGATGTAACCTTTGGATAAATGTCATTATTCACTCTACCTACTGACAATGGGCAAACTACTCCTACAGAAAGATGGGTTAACTTTTCCAGGTCACTAGGGCCACCTCATATTGCTTCAGTGTTGTAAAAATGGTATCATGCTGAATGAAACTGTTGTGGAGGCAAGAAAAGGGAACGGAGATCGCTGAAAAATTACAGTAAGAGATTATTATAGTGCCAAAAATGTTTTCCTTGCATACAATTTAATTAAATCTATAAGCACATTTTTTCCTCAAGACTTTTGGGCAGATTTACATTTCAGCAGTCTTTACCATATGCCTGGTAATGTGTGTATGTGCAAATGTTTATTTTTATTTTAGAATGTTTTGTAACCAAACAGTGTTGGTCCATAGAACACTGTCAAAGCACAGAACATCTTTATTATTTAGTCCATTTCAGGCCTGCTATTAGACAGGCTTTATTAGGGATACTGTTAAGATCAGTTTTAAATACAAATTAAAGTTATATTTCAGGAAGAACAGTTAAATATTCCTAAATTGTATATATCTGCAATGATTTGAAAGCAGAGATAATCTGCAATCTTTCAGTCCAATCTCCTTTGGTTTCCTTCTTGAATTAGTATCTCATTAAAGAGAAGGGTTGTTTCCTCAATACAGAGCAATCTTCTAACATCTTTTGCCAGATGAACCACAGCTTCTCCTGTCCTTCTCTGCCACTGGAGCCTGAAGTTTGCTTATAAATTCTTAACCCCTGAAACACTTATGGTATAGGAAGAGATAATGTATGTGGAAATACTTAGAGAGGAAAGTGACATGCAATTTCAAGTATAACTGTAATATGATCAGAAAAAGAAGTCAACACTTCAGTTTGTTTTTTCCTTATATTTAAGTAGAAAGTAGGGTTTTGATAATAGTTGCCTACAGGACTCAACTGGATGGTGATAATGGGACTAGTAAGTTAAAATATAATAAACATCTCAATCATTCTTTATAATTCAGAAATCAGCAAGGGGGATAAAATTTAAAATATTTTAAGAAATGAAAACATTTATAATTCTTAATTATCTTAAGGTTTCAACAATTATTGTTTTTAACCTCTGAAATTCTCCCCTCAAGCCCAGACACAAATGTTTTTGAGAGGTTATCATTTGAATTCTACCTGTTATCTTTAAGAGTATTTCTGATTTAAAATGCTTTTGTTATTAAAACAAAACAAAACAAAAACCAGGTTAGATTATGGGGAAAAACCCACAGTGGTGGCTGCCTTCTGAGACTCAAAGCACATAACACCAAGACATCAAAATTAAGGAGCTGCGCTCCCCTTTCCTACTGGGTTCTGCTTAACCTGCCCTAGAAACATTTTTCAATTCATCTCAGTTTTTGCAAAAGCGAAACATGTCTACAGAGAACATAACAGTGAATACTGCCCTTTCTTCCTCTGAAAAGGAAAATGCTGGTTATACTAGAACTCCACATGGATTTTACAAACATTTACTGGAACCACCAACTCTTCAAACCTTCAGCTCTGTTTAAACCAGCGAATGGATAATTAATAGCAGCCTCCTTTTGGGGTTTTGACTAGATTGCCAGATTCTGTAGTTAGAGCCTTCTTCCTTCCAACTTGCTTTTCCTGTGCTGTAATCTTCAATACATCGTCTTACAAAAATTAGCGTGTTAATTAAGCCTTCTTGGCAAGTAATTGCATGTTAAGGTTTTTTTTTAAAGATCTTTTGAATCCCTATATGAATGTAAAATAAAGGTTACTACAGTGCCATTCTTTTTTTAATGGCACAGAATTAATTTCTCTAGTAGGAAAATGGACCCAGCTCTATGGACAGAAGAACATTAAGGCTAAAAAAAAACCCCTCCCTTATATGTTTATTACCATTAAAAAAATATATCATATTGAAATCAACAATTTCAAGATTATCAGCAATCTTGTTCAGGATATAATTTTCCTATCTCAACTGATTCTAGGAAACGCATTATTAATCTAAAAGTAGCATTTCAAATATTCGTATGTACTAACATTTCTACAACTTTTCTGTTAAATTTCTGACAAGTGGATGGAATCAAAGCAGGGCTGATATGCTAACCCATGCCCAGAGCATAATATTTATATTTTCAGGTAGGCAGTTTTGAAATAAGATGTTTCAGATACAATAGCACATCCAAGATTTAGGCCAAAGGCCAAACTTGTCATTTATTTCATGGCTGCTATTAGTTTCCATTTAAATGGAGAAGTGACTCACTTTAAAGATCTTTCTATAAGTGCACAATGGATTAGACATTTAAACAAAGTCACTGTGTGAAGGAATTTGGACCCAGTAACACAACTGCATGCTTCATACAGAGGTGTTTCTTTATAACAGCGGTTTCATTACCAGAAAACAACTACGATGCGCAGAAACATTACTCATTTTGTTACTGATATAATTATAAAGAAAACCCTTTCATGGGTAAATTATGAAGAAAAAGTCTTATAAAACAAATAAATAAGCAAGCATTAAAATAGAATTAATTACCAAAAACCCCCAAAAAACAACAAAAATCCCCACAAAAAACCAGAGCCACTTACAGGGCTTGATGGAGTCTTTGGCCAGCCTGGGCTGCTAATGCTATCACTTTCATCTCCATGAAATGAGGAGATGCTAGCAGAGCTGGGGGACATTGGGGAAGGGACTGGCAGGTTGCCGGGGGTTGGGGGCTGAGAAATACCCTGAGAGCTGTAGCTATCCTGTGGTAGAGGAATAAAAAAAAAAAAATGACAAAGGTAGGGCAAACTTTATTTAAAATAACAAAAAGCACATCCAGTTTAACAGATAATTTTTATATATAATAGATATACATAAAGACATGTACACACAAACACACAAAAGCACACACATATAAAGGTATTAAAACAACATCCTGCATTAGTGTAAAAGTTTGCTGGATGCTGGATAAGGCCACTAAGCCACCATGCTTACTTCAAGCTTACATGGGATGCTGAGCATGGGTTAACCCTTATGAAAGAAAGAAAGGAAAGAAAAAGCTGTTCACCTTATTTATCAAATAAGGCAGGAAAGCAAAATATTAAGTATGCTGTTGCTGCTGAGGCGGCCAAAACAGGAAGCTATAAACTGAAGGCAGAGAAAATGGCTGCAAGTATCAAAAGCAGGCGGGACCCTTGCTTCTCCCCACCCCCGCAGCATGTCTCTCGGGTGAGTCTTGTCCCGCCACCCCTCTCCCACAACCAGGAGTTCAATGCCGTAAGAACTAGTAACTTTCAGATCCACGCCATGAAGGGGGTGGGGAAGGAGACTATAAACACGGTGCACACGATGAAGGCATGCAGAAGAGAAGAAGCCAAAGGGCACAGGCGCAGGCCGACACCAGCGGACCGAGAGCAGCACGGCGGCGCAGCGAGCTGGTGCCCGCACCGCGTGCGAGGAGAAAGGAAATACCTTCGACTTGCTCTCAGGCTGCGGAGCGCCGTCTTCTTTGCCGTCTGCTTTGAGGGGCAGTTTGGGGTCGCCAGGAGACATCATATCTGCAAGACCCATAGGGGCTAATCGGAAACAGGAGAGAAGGGTTTAGGATTAGTACACCGGGTTCATCAGGCTGTGCTCCTGCTAACGCAAGTTACTGAGTGATACGGGGAGCACCTGAATTACCACTGAAGGAAGGAAAAAAGGGAAAAGAAATTAAAACTCAGAGCATACACTAATTCCTGAAATCTAATAGCATGACAACAGTCTGGTGATCCTTTTTTTATCTTAAAAAAAATAGTAATCATTTATTCTACCCAAACCAGTCAATTTATATCAATATTCTTTTTCAAAATTACTACAACTTTAATAAAGTAGGTGACAAGTGGAAATAAGCTCAACATTTAAACTGTGTTGAAAGCAAATGCTGCATGTGTGTATATTTTAACCTGATGACTAGAGGATGTTAGCACTTTCTTTTGTGAAATTTTCTAAATTCACATAATCTATTATAATCTTAAATTTGTAAAATCATTTGACATTTTTATTGTTTCAATCAAAATTCTTGCCAAATGCATGGGGCCCAGTATGCAGTAATGGAAAACAAGCCTAAATGGTGACTTCCAAAACAACAATCTAAGTAATTTTTGAAGGAGAGGATTTCCAATTATTTTGTGATGAGGCTGGTTTCCTTTCAGTCTGGTACAGTACATGCATTTATCACTTAGCATACATTCTCCGCAGCAGCTCAGAAGCCCAGATTACACCCCCACATCAGCTTAGGAGTCAATCTACGATCCTAGGTAAAACTCATTTTCGGAAATTCTGTCAAGTTCATCAAGGCTCAGAATGCCGGACTCACCAAAAAACCAACAGACTTATACACATTTATTGCAAACACTAACAGACATTTTCAAGTTAAAAATATAGGTTTAGGTTTCTTTTTAGAGGAAGAACAAGAAGGCTTCAGTGGGGAATCAGTGTAGATATCCAGGGAGTAACAGCTCAGCTTCCACAGAGCCCCACTGTGGAAACCATCTGCCCAGCACAGGCCTGTGAGGGTGACACCACACAGATGTGTGAAGAATCGGGAGAGGAGAGACAGAGTAGAAGAGGGAGAGGGGAGAGAATTGTGAGCCTTATAAATGAGTGAAAACCAGAAAACATTCCTGTTTCAAAATAAACCTGAGGTTTCATAAACAGGACCCATTTCACATTCTGCAAATGAAAATGCTGGCCCAATGGAGGCAGTGCACATGTAGCCTAATGTGCCAAAAATCAAAACAGAACAACAACAACAAAAAAAGAAGTTTAAAAAAGGCTCTCCAGATTGCCCACTACAAAATGATTATTGCACATATTCATGTATTACTATGTTTTAGAAAATAATTAGTTTTAATTACAGCAGTGAGAGAGTGAGCAGGGCTCTGGCGAATTAGCTGGCAAGCTTTGCGGTGCTAATTTGCTAATATCGTTAGCATCACTGCAGGTTGAGACCAGAGGTCCTGCCAAAAAAGCTTACCCTGCCACGTGCCCATGCGTTCACATCAGCACGCTCAATGATGCACTCTGAAATGCCTGTATTTTCCATGGGCACGCTGGCTTGTTTTTCAAAGCCCATTTGCAGCCCAGTCAGCCCTTGAAGTCATCACCACACACACAAATCGTAATTGGGATGTTTTTCTTTTTTTTCAAATTACTTTCAATACTTAGACTTTAAGAACTGGAACAAAAAGCTTTTTCAAGTGATGCAGCTGCAGAGAAAAATCTATTGGGATCAGCTAAAAATGCTGTTATTTTTGTGAATGTGTGAAACCTCAAAAAAGCAGCTGAGAGATATTACACCCAGACCGCCTTGTTCAAAGCAGTGGATTGCTTTTGTGCAGTTTTATCTCTGGGGTCTAGCAAGATATGAATTAGTAAATCTGTACATTAAGAAATACCCTTTCTAGAAGAATAGAAGGGGAAAAAGGCAGAATAAGTGTGGAAAGAGGGGCCTATTTATGAGAGTCTGCGTGGCCTTGTTAGTTATTCACAGAGTGGGTGCCCAGGAATGACAGCCACACAATTCCAGAGAAAGTGGCAAAGCCATGGACACGCAGCTTCTGCTAAGTCCCTTTTCTCCAAAGGTTTTAACAAATAGTTCTGTCTCTATTAGTGATAAATCATGCCTAAATATTCTGAAAAATAGAGATATCCTATTTCATGCATTAAATGTGTTAGTGTACACAAAAGCAATTTTTAATACAGAACTAGGCCAATATGTACTATGATTATTAATGATAACAATTTACACTGATTTAAAATCAGACTGAGAAGAATATAAGTGTATGTGGGTTTGAAATTCCCTAAACTTTTAAATTCTCAATTACACATTTAAAAATGGGCATATAAGGTATGCCAATAAAAAAATTGTCGGAAGTTGCACTGCTTTATTATTTTGAGGAATAAGGATAGGATTTAGAGTAATAGTTTTATTTAGTACTCCTGCCTTACAGTGTAAATTTTATTTTATTAAATGGATCATAAGGTCTTTC